TATAAATACTGTAACGCAATGACCAGCACTCGTATAGTCACACGTGGTTTCAAGATGCACATTTGTGATTATTTAGTTTGATTGAAACATTGTACTCAAAGGATCGACAATTTCACTAGGTAACTACTACATTTTTGAGAGAGAGTAACAAATTTTATTTAAAGTTATCTGCCCACCGCTCGGGTTGCGGAAAAACACAGCATACTAATCAATATTCCAATGCATAAGAGAATTTTAAATTTACAACACAATTAAGTTTTACTAAATTTACAATACAAGTGGATAAACGATATTATTAATTCCTTAAAATGTAAGACTTTCAATTCAATAATTTATTAAATCACGTTATGATGACCTTAAAATTCAACAAATAATAAAATATTTAATTAATACACTCGCATAATAAAGCAGACAAACGAAAACGTATTGCCTACTACAAAATATATAAATGGTAATTTATCATGTTTATAACGAGTCCTTTAAGTTCTTAAAAGTATTTTGAAAGGGTCATCAGTGGCGAGGTTATATGATCGGGAGAATGATTTAAGAACTCTGAAGCTGTACCCCCTCTATACTTAGCTTCAAACCAAAGTCCAAATACTTCCCAACTTGTGATACCGTATTGCTTCTGAAGCCGTACAATGTGAGTTCATAGATACTTTTCTTTTCTTCATCCACTGCACTATCTTGCTGTGGGTGATTTGTTTCCAAACGAATTGTCTTGTCTAGAACGAGACCATGCGGTCTTTATTATTTTCTAATACGATGATCTAATAAATGTGTTTAGTTTACTCTTTCAAGATAATCGTAATATTAACAAAACTAATCATTATATTTTTTTCCCATACTCTCGTTAAGTTATACGTCTTGTGATGGTGGTGTAGTTCATATTCGTAAGTAGTATTTTGTTTTTTTTTTTTATTGAAAAAATAAACTCTGCAGCTATGGCCATTAGTTAAGTTTGTATGATGTTACATTTTTATAATATGTGTACACATGGTAAAAATACTAAAACGGCCATATTATAAAGTGAACGCCATATCGTTATGTCTCGTGGTATGGTTGCAATATTTTATCGATGATATTATAATATGCTTTTCATATCGTGGTTTTGGACTCGTGTGGTAGTCGTGTTCGGTTTTCGGTCGGACATTGATTTTGTCACGTTCGCGCGCCAGAAATACAGAAACGAATGCACATAGCGTGTGTATGAATTTATTGACTTACGCGACGTGAACGTTTTGTATGTGGCGGATGGAAATTAACGATTCACCGCGGGGTTGTCACGCTAAAATTGTATTGATGCGGACACGTTTACTCCACTCACTGCCACTCGCACCCAAAACCAACGCGTTATATGTAGGAGGACATGACAGTTTTATTCTGAAAACGGATTAATATACAACACACACGATGCTCGCGCGCGCGCGTCCACACACGCACACACACACACATACATACGAAAAGTATCTTATCAGATCCGTAAGAAAAGAGGTACGTTGTGGGATCCAGTCGAAATATTAAGTTCTAGGAGCTGTGAAAAATATGTATTTTTAAAAATTTAAAAATTTACACCATGCTATAATTATCATTATTTTACACTCAGAAAAACTTTTTGTTCCTATATATCTTTATCAGATCCAGTGTGTGTAAGAAAATTTTAGTATTTTATTAGATCCATATGTGTGTTTTCTTGTTTACTAAGTATCATGTGAGATCCAGACATTTTTCCTATTTCAAACCATAATACTTTGTGAGATCATTGCAACGTTGCCATATTGTTTGAATTACTTACTGGGTAACACTTATACATATAGACAATATAGTAGGTACTGACCGATAATATACTAGCTACATATTATTTGTTTAACATAATTTTATATTGATATAACGCTGTGGGATCTCCAATATTACAATATTTTCATTTAACAACTGATCCAATACATTATTAACTTAAGGTTCTAATACTTTTTAAAGTGAGCTTAGATATGGTTTTTATATCATAGGTGGAGCCAGAAATGTTGTCAGTGTATGCAGAATTTAAATTAGCACACCACAATTACGTGGAAATACGTATGAAATATAGTTTAAAATTAGGTAATGAAAACGGGCCGCTGCGCGTAGCTACCTAAACTTTTCCTTGTATTGTATGTACCAGGTATAGGTCCACTTTATAAAATACCCGTATTAGATAAACATCAATAATTCTCGAAACAGTCAAAACATTACAAGAAATTGACGACCCACATCATTCTCCAATAAACTATTTCTATAGGTAGCTATTATTAATATATTTGAATTTTTGCCGTGTAAACAAGGCAATTGTCGTAGAATCATTTACTTCATGTTTGAATTTCGTTATCGAACGACGCACAGTGGTATATACTGCAATTTTAAGCGGACAAAAGTATTATTTTAAAATATTTTTAGAAAGGTTGAGAGTATTATATAATTGTTGTATACACCTTCTACAGCTTCATAAACTGTACAATAAAAATATTAGTAAGTGATAACAAGATGAACTGCAGCTCTTAAGTCAATATTTTGGGAATTATTTATACATAATAATTGGCTATCGGATCTCGTAAAGGCGTAACAAATGTAAGTATTCTGCTCTTATCTATGGACTATGCGGATCTCACAAAGTACATACCAACTGCACTCTGTAGTCAATATTTTGGGAATTATCTATGCATAATAATTGGCTATCGGATCTCGTAAAGGCGTAACAAATGTAAGTATTCTGCTCTTATCTATACGGATCTCACAAAGTACATACCAACCGGATACCGTGTGTACTGGGTTGAAAATCTGTCGGCCTCTCTTCACGCTTATTTATGTATAAATCCGGGGAAAACCCGCATAAATATATTTATACATACAAACATTATGAGCTATTATAAATATCTATATTCCGTAATATACATCAGATCTCTTAACGATACAACAAAATATGTACATAGGGACTAGTGGATCTCATGACGTTACAATATTTCTATATTTTGAAAATTTGATCTTATAGGCAATTATAGTCTGTCCAACGAGAGAACGCACCGCGCACAGACTAAAACTAGTTCCCACAGGTAACACCCTGTCATAGGGGAACCGGTTTCGATAGCAAGGTGACGCCCCGGGATGCGCAGAATATTGTAATATAATAATATAATCAAATCTGTCAAAGACATCGCGAAATTAAGTATATTTGAGGGTTGGGATCTCTTACATAGGTATACGTTATAGTCTTACAGTTAAATATTTATAGTTGTACCATCTTGATATGATTTAATATAGGTGGAAGTAAGTATTAACTAGTTATACAAATACGAAATTACGTTAGTTAATATATTTATATGGCCTGAACAACATAACCTAGGGATGTACCTTCTGTTCATACTTTATTAAGTCAATATTATGGATCTCATAAAATGCGTTCTACATTGAAGCGGATATCAAGAATTATTTTTTATTATTATTACAATAATATAATATTATGATATAATACAAAATAATTAAAATATAGTAAGGATCTCTTAAAATCGGTAGTTACAGACCACTAACACACAAATGCGACGTTGCCGTCGTATAGATCTCACAGGGTGCATATCATTCAAAACGATTTTGTACTATCCCCGGTGATGGAGCATAAGAAACACATACTGTGTTTATATACACACACATAAATTTCATAATTATGGTCTTATGAGATCCGATCTATTTCTGTATGGAAACTCGTTCATTTGCCTTGAAAAGGCTAAATCAGGTTAAAACGTTATTAGATCCGGGGGTATGGATCCCACAACGAAAAATGATCTCACAACGCTGCTTCGTTTCTATACGGTGGATCCCATAAGACACTAGCGGTAAACCCACACACACACACACACACACACACACACACACACACACACACACACACACACGCATACACAAACTGGCATTTTCCAGCCACACGCACCAGTAGGGAGGTCGGCCGTCGTTTTCAGTGCAATTTTTTATTCTTCCCGACGAAAACATTCCTACTTTGGTTTTCGCTTTTGAACTATACAGCCCGTTTCACACACCCCGACCGAAATCTGATCACATCAACCTTGTCCATGTTCTGAAATATACAAAATAAACAATTTGCACGTCACATGCAATGTATTATGTGATATTATTCGCCAATGTGCCGAAAAAAAAATTGATGACATCAATAATAATTTTTTTTTTTTTTAATTTATTCAAATTAATTGCTTAAAAACACTTAGTATTATTACAATGTAGCTTAAATTAACATAATGTATATATTTAATATAAATATTAGCTATTAGCTTATCTAACTATGGTATATACGATTTAATGTATAGGTTTAATCGGGAATCTGGACAAATGTAATTATGGGGAAATAATGCCTTTGTCAATGAGAGTATTTAGTACTGTGAAGAGTAGGGAGATAAGAAGATTGATTAATGAGCTTAAATTAGATATAAACCTGGAACAGGTGTTGGTAAATTTTTCTGTATGTGAGTTTTATTGTTGTTTGGTAGCTTCTGCGTAAAATTTTGTTATGAAGTGAGCTTTGAATTCAGGGAGCTTAGCTAGAGGCATTTTTGGAGCAGCTTTTTGGAAAGCTGCCCTGTATACTGGTCATCTCTTAAAGTTGGCGGTGTGGTCCGCACTGTATAGAGAGCATTTGGCGGGACTGTTGCAGTCTTTAGAACAGTCTTCCGTGAGGTGATTTTCACCGCATTTAACGCATCTAGGTTTATGGTGGCAACCGTTTTTAGTGTGTCCGTTAATTGGCGGTTATGACATTGCGGAGGGCTGCGCTTTTTATGCGGTTTCTCGATCTTAACTTTAGTGTTGAGTAGCGATGTGATGTCGTGAATGTCTTTATTGTTGTTCCTGAGGTATTACATCCACAAAGAATAGTGGAAAGGGGGATTTGCTTTTGTTTTTGGCGCTGTACACGTATTTTACTTTGTGAACTAACTCGTTCAGAGCGTTCATGATGTCGATGTTTAATGTGGAATAGTGCAGGTTTCTAATAACGACTCTATAGGTGCGGAGGTGACGGGGGTATGTGAGTGGAAACTGGCGTTTATTTCATGTAAGTAGTCAATGATTTTATTGTAATTTATACGACTTGAGGGTATAACCTTGAGGTATGCCGATGATGAACTGCAGATGAAACCTTTTGGGCTGGTGATATTGGTTAAGATGGTATTGAAAGAGGAAAAGTTCTCTATGTTTTTAACAAAGATAGGTGGAATGACTGGGTCTCTGACCTGAACGTTGTGAGGCTGGTTCGCTGGAAGAGCGTCCATCGAGTTGGATGCGGACGTGGCTGCGGCTTCTTGGTCACAGGAGTCATTTGTGGCGAGTACGGCAAAATGATTTGGTGTTATAAAAACTTTTGATTTTTTGTCAGTTAGACTCGGCGACTGGGACGAACTGGACAAATTTCTTTTAGACGGATTGGGTGTACGTGGCGAAACGAGCCCCAGATTACGGGCGCTGTTGTTCATTATAAGGTTATAATAAAAACAAATAATTAATGTTGACTAAAATATTCATAATGTTAAATGATTCACAAACGTCAACGGTGTTACTATAATATAGTAGCCGAATATCTCAGACGAATTGTTTTTATTTCTTAACTCACGAGTGTTATAATAGCGAACACTAGAAATAATTGTTAATTAAGTGTAACAAGTAACTTGTCGTACGTGGAACATGAATCATACTTGCAAATTTATATTTCGGACCTGCAGATGTTGACTGCGGCGACCATCTGGTGGTCAGGTAGGTCAGATATATGGCGGAGACGATTGAGTTAATATGTTAAATTCTCAAATTTCGAAGATGTCATTAATTCTACCATAAACCGATTTTGATGATTATTTTACATGCCATGACACGCACTATTATAAGTGTTAGTCATAATACACTTACCCATTTGATTGGGTTTATACAATAGTAAAATTTAAATTGCAACAGTCGATAGTTTTTATTCAATTATTGAGCTGGATAGATTTTTTTAATAACTTAAAAATAGTACACATCAAACGATTTTACAAAGCAATGCATATAATTTGTTTGCGCCTTAAACTCTCTGTAGTTATGATCACAATAACAGTTGTATGAACCATGTCTGATATTAAAAGTTTACACTCTATTATACAAAATAGAAATATATATTATAATACTAATATGATATATTTTACTTACTTACTTATTCATTTATTCATGTGGAAATATTATGCCATATATTATAATATTATACCTACGTCTAGGTAATCAGTTTGAAATCAAACAATACTATAATATTATAATATTGCAGTTTTTTCTTTTGTGACATAATAATATACATCCCGCAGATCAACAATTCAATTATGTTAATAATCTAGTATGTTAACAGAACAGAAATAGTAAATAACAATTAAGAATGTAATATATTATTGCTGTAAGTAGATTAAAGTACATAAATCAAAACTTAGAAGGATATAGTTTTGGTAACAATATGAACATTACTGTGCCCTATATCGATTCGTTACGGCTTATGTGGAAGATTTTTAATAACAATACATATTATTTGGTCAACGAGGTAATCGTTTAGAGAGATAGTCTCAGAAATAAAACACAGACACTCACAATAATGTAATATCATACTATACTTATTTACATAATATGTATATTATGCTAGTCTAAGTATCGTATTTTGTTTGACTGAAAATTGTTTAAAATTACCCGACCCGAGTGTACCTAATGCATCCTCATGTCAAGCACTGAAGTAACATTCCGCTAGCTACTACAGAGGTTGATCTTTCTACACAGATATTAAATCAAAACGCAAACTATTCTCTACGAATAAAGCTGAGAAAAATCAATATTATAAACCTAATTTCAAAAAAATATGCACCCACAGGAATTACAGCTCTCATTTGCTCATCAAATCGTCCATGTCAAGGTTTACTGTTTATAATTATACAATTTTCTTATTGTTCCATTATGTATAATGCGGTTTATAAATTCTCTTATTTTAAATAGGTAGACAATAAAACAAAAAGGTTACAATTTTGGTTTTAGTCTTATAATTTTTGTTTACATGCGTTTTTTTGAAGTACATAACTAAAACTATCGTTTATTATGAAACTTTCTGCCATTAGTTTTCATATATTATAATATTCAAATCTGAGTCAACAGTTGACAAGATATTATAGTTTAATAAATTATGCGACTACTCTCCACTACTAAGAGAGAAAAAAATAAGTGCATTCAAAATATTATAAATCTACTAATATTATAGTATGTTACTGAACAGACGGTGACGAAGAGAAATATCGACGAAACTGCCACGTACATTTCAATAGCCCATAACCCCCCCCCCCCCACAAGTTACAAAATCGTTGTTTTTTCTTCAGCATTAATTAGCGTGGAATATCTTGTGTATTTGTGAGAATATTTTCAGAATTTAATAAAAAAAGCTATAAAGAATTTAGGACAAATTCAAAAAAACTTTGGGGGGATGGTGAAATCGACATTTCTGGATTTTTTTTCCCAAAAATTAGTGCTCGATTTATGTGAATTTGTGTGACAAAAATGGAATTTTTCGAGCTACATTTAACCCTCTTAAGTATTTGTAAGAATGAATTTGAAATTTGTAAGTCATCCCTCCATTAATATTATCCTGAAAAAGAAGTTGACTGTGATTTATCGAGCTTTTGAACTTTGACTGTTCCAAATCGTCCGGCACAATTTTTAAGTATTTGTAAGCATTAATTTAAAATTTTTAAGTCAGTCCTCCCTAATTTATTTCCCTAAGAGAAGTTGGTTGAAAATTAATAAAAAAAAAGCCTAGTTAAACTAAAAAAATATCTAAATATGACAAAAAATTTAAAAAGAATAAAAAAGCAACTAAATAAAAAATTTATATTAAATAAAATTTAATTTCAATAAAAAAGGTTAGTTAAATTGTACACACAAATTCTACACTAATTAGTGGTGAAGATAAAACAACGATTTTGTAACTTAGGGGGGGGGGGGCTGGTGAAATGTACCTGAAACCTCCGAAGTATAAAAACATTATTTTTGGATATTACTCAGAAGGAAGCTAGTATAATGTTCAGTTCTTTTGTTTATGTATTTCATTCGTTTGGCTTTACTGTGGAAATATCTTTTATGAAAATAATAAGATAATTATACGTAAATACCAGCGTCCAGCTTATTATTAATACATACACGTAGATACCATCAACTCGTTTATCGTACCACGTTATTTTCGAAATTTCGATAACGAAAGCTGTCTAAGCCCTAATATAATTTTCAAATCTTGACTAAATAGAGAAAACGTAATCAATTTTATACTTTCGTACGCTCCGTGAATAATATAATATTATAATATTATTCTTTCACGTCTACCAAACGGAACTTACACGTTTGGTGATTTGATCCAACGCGTAGAGTTTTACATTAAAATAAACCCCGAGGTATAATAATAACGCCATAACACAATGCATTAAGATTTGTAGCTATTATGGTATGTATTCATACGCACAGTGAATCGAGTTCTGTCATTTATCTAAACTGTCTCCCCGATGAAAACGTATTCAGTCAAAAGTGGCATCTTACTGAATTCATCATAGCTAAACGATTTCAATATTACGTGGTTCCAACTCAATTCTATATTATTTTTTGCTCGACCATACTATTCTAGTTAAAGTCCCCCTAGTCACATGGATAGTGACTTTGAGTATTTTATTATTTTCGTTAAAAAATATAGATATATTCATTCAATATTATACGTCTATAGCCGAGAAACTATGAATACAAATCACGAGCATCTACGATTAAAACATAGTATCATTTATTATTATATGTGTGATTTTTTATTTAAAAAGTAAATAATTTCTAACTTTGCACCATATTTGGATCTTAGAATTTTTTTTAAAACTTTTTAAAATATCTATAAAATACAATTTTCACACAGGTACCCCCCTTGTTTGTACTTTGACACAAAAACAATCGCGATTTAAAAACGTAACAATAACTGATTTCATATAGATTTTTCATGGTAATTGCATTTTTATATTCCGAAAAGTTCAAAATACCTTTTATTCTGGGTAATCATAGGACGAAAGTACATTTGTAATACTCTCGGGAAAATATTAGAATATTCGAGTTTGGAGTGGAAGAAACGACCTAAAAGATGATTCGTTATCCAGTTCATAAAATAAAATAATGATACAAAACTTTTGACACTTCATGTTTATAACCACTTTTTTTATTTTTGTAATTTTATCGTCTCAAAAGAATGTTGTAACTTGCAATATAAATAAGTTTTACAATATGTATACAAGAAGTTTTACAAAGATGGAACTTACTTTTTTTTCTCGACAAAAACTTACAATTGTTTGTGTGATGAATATGCATACTGCAACTAAAATTTAAATTTACAGATTATCATTACATGAAAAACTAATTGTGCAACAGATGGAAACATACATTTTACTAATACAATGTTAATGTATATTCCGTCATTCGCAGTAAAAATGATTTTAGGGACATTTTTTTTTATTATCCATTATATATATTTTTTTATTAATATTAATGTAAAGTCAACTAAGATAATTTGTAGGATATCATTTTGAAGCATGACGAATTTTTAGGAGTAAAATATTTTTAGTTGTTGTTTTTCATAACAGTGGTTTTTAAAAGTTAAAAACTTAAATTTAAGAATTGAAACTCACTAAATAATATTATTTTTATCATTGATCTCATGAAGTGATTTTATGGGTAGCTATTCTAGTACTTAAATGGTACCTACTTTTGTGTTCAAATAGTTTATAGTTTACACCAATATATTATGCGTTAAAAGTTAAAATTAACATATTATTATAATTTCATAATAAGTCAATACAAACGGAAATTCAAATAACTTTATAGATTATTGTTTTGTATTAAATTATTATTATCCCATTTTTTTGTTTTTTTTTTTTTTTTTAAATCTTATTTAGTTTGATATAATATATTTTATCGATTAAGTACAAAACAATTTTGGTAGATACGTATAATATATTTCAAGCAATAACTGGTACGTCATCTAGATCTTATTTCTAGTGTTCTTATGTTTTCCTGGAGTCAGTTGTGAAGTTTAACAGGATATTTTAATATTTATGACAATAAAACATTTCCTGGATCTTGCTTGGAGTGCACGAAACACTGAGTCCCATTGGCGATTTGACGTTACCCTACTTGAGTTTTTTTCTTCCATCAAGAAGGTCGACAGCTTTTTATCGGCTGTCTTTTATAATTTTTTTTTTTTTGTTTATTTAAATTCTCAACACCAGTAATTTCCCTGGAGGTGAAACGCTGCAGGGGTTGTAATATATACCCATCGCGGTGGTGGATGTGGTCCGGTTGATTTATAACATTTTGCTTCTATCGTTTATGGTTTGAAATATGAAGTGATAAATTAAAATAAAAACTGAAATTCAATATCATTTCGAAAATTTAATAAATATTACAT